GTGCGACAGGGCGGGGGGCTGGAACTGCTCACGCACCGGATGCCAGGGCTGGACCCGTGCAGGTCTCTGCGTTCTGCCGTCAGCTTTGACTCCTTGGTTCCCTTTTCATTCTGGCTCAATCTCGTGCTGCTTTAGGAGACAATTTTTCCCTCTCAGAGGGAAAACATCTCATCTAGTCGTAAGATCCGAGAATACAACCACATGGTACTGAATTCTTCCAGTCTTGCCATTTTTGTCACTGGGTTCCACACAGCAGATGTCACTGGGGATGAACTTGGAAGTGCCGCTTTGCAAAGGCTTGGGACAATTGTATTTATTGCACAAGTACAAGAAGTATAGAGCTGGAAATTTCTGGGTTACAGATTCCAGTTTCCAGCTACAACTTCCAACCACGTTGTATAATTTTTCTATTAAATTAGCCAAGTTCCCCTTTAAAAATATTTCAGAGACTTCTCTGTTACACATTTTAAAAGACTGTTGCAGAGGCACACTAGGCTAAAAGAGCAATCTTTGACTCCCAGGGATTTTTTACTGTGCTTACAAGGGCAATATCCCCTTGGAACATTCTTTGCCATTTAGAAATCAACCTTTGAATTAGTGTTTTAGACATACAGCTAACTACCTCTGCAAAAAGAATTCCAGACTTCAACAGTGGCAGTTGTATTTACTGTTTTCTAGTGGAAATACGTCACTGGACACAGCCCAGGGTACCTCCTGTATCTGCAGGTGCGTCACCCTGTGTTCGGTCATTCCGTGCACACCTGATACGCGCGGGAGCTTCCCTGCTGCTCCCGACAGATGAACTATTCCGCAGCAGAAGCGACTGCTGGAGCGTTGGCACTTTGAGTGACTCCAGCCCTCAAAGGAACCCCGTCTTCCTGCAGCTCTTCCCAATGGCGTCTGTACCGAAGAAACCTCTCAGCTTAGTGGCATAAAAACGCACTCAGAACAGTTTTACCTTTATACCCAAGTCATCAAAACACAGAGGACATTAGTAATCCATGGATGGATCATAGGGAACTCCACCAAGCTTTTCTGCATTTCAGTTCTGCTGGGAGTTCCACTCATTCTCTCTTTCACTGCTTTTTTATCTTAAATGTCTACTAAACCCATCTTGCACAGCAGGACGGCCGCTTTCCTATGTGGTGCTGCCCGACTGTCTGCTGAAGTCCAGGAAAAGTAACCGCACGGCTGCGGTTTTGCTCATTTTTGGTTTTACTCACCTAAGACAATAGATCTTACAAACACCAGTACCACTCTAACCTGGCAACCCATCTTCAAAGCAGATGGAATTCTTCTAAACTTAGGCCCTAATTGTCAGTGACCAACACATCGCGTAACCATTCACACAAGCAAGCGCAGAGCCGGTACCGAGCGCTCCTGCAGCACGGGTGTGAGCTGTGCTCCGCGTGCAGGCTGAAGCTTCCCTGCAGCCCCCCAGGGAGTGGTCTCCCGCTCTCCAGCCTCAGCCACACATTCCCGATCCCTCCCTTGTTCTCCTCCGGTCACCATCAAAGGGGATCCTGTATGTTCTGGGGTGGGTGTGTTTGACTTGAGGAACAGGAATACGTTGGTGCCTGTCTTGGATTCTCTGCCTCCCACGTCCCGAGTGCTCCCTGTCTTCCGAGGCCAGACGGTCTGATCAGACATTTCTCTCGCCAGAATAGAGCCTTTGCTGCAAAACCAGATCTCCCTGCATCTTCCAGAATCTTAAAATGCTCTTAAAATGCAATGCCCTGGAACACCTGCCAAACCGCAGACAAGCAGAAAATGCTGTGCAAGGACGCAAGCGTCAGAGGCTGGGTGGGAACCTCTGTACTTACACCTCAGACTACAACCTCTTCGTCAGAGAAACGATGACAACGCGTACTGCAGGGGGAACACAGAAGTCTATTACAAAACGTCATACCACCCTCAGCTCTCTCCCAGGCACAAGTGATCATAAGGATAACCCACCCAAACAAGCAGCATATACAACTTTACAAAGACATACGTATGGTTCTCTGTTCAGCCCTTATAAATAGCGTTTTACATATTAAAATAAATACGTCCACGTTGCCAAAGTAGCAAGAGGTTTCTTCGTTATTTAAAAAAAAATATGTTACAAAACAATATCATTTATATTTCTTGCTTAGTTTAAAAAATGTAATAAAAAAGTCATTTTATAAAATAATACGAAAGTAAATTGAGTACAAGAGTGTCCGTCCCTAGCACGTGTCCTGGGTTTGTATGTTACGAACCATCACGAGATGCTGACCTCCAGCAAGTCATGTAACTGTCCCTTCACTTCTGGTTGGACAAAATAAATCCAGTGCTTGCTTTTTTCACCACTTGTATCAAGTCTATGATGTAAAATCCGCGGCAAGGGAAGAAGTCCTAGGTCTGGGGAAGGTTCTCATGGGTGCTATTGACGGCTTTGCTGCTCCCTGTGTCGGATTGCCCCGTGTAATGCAGGAAGAGGACGTGAACGGCCAAAACGGAGCCCTGGGCTTCGGAGGTAACGAGTTCTAGTCAAACAGTATAAGCAAGAAACTGCTTTTTTTTTCCTTGACACATCCTAGGTGTGCAAGAGCATGGCAGCACGTGGGTGTGCGGAGGCTGAGCGTGCGTGGGTGTGAGCGTGGATCTGCCTGCGTGAGCGTAAGGAAGGTCAGGGAGCGCGGGAGGAGGGCGGGGGGTCTCCTCCTGACCCATCCCTGCCCCCACGAGGACCCCGTCCTAGTTACCGCTGCTGAGCATCCCCAGGAGTTTGCTGGGCTCCAGGCCCTGCTGCTGCGCCATCTTCTGAACATCAAAACCCATGTGCATGAGGAACTGGATCACGTTCATCTCCTGCCCCGTGAACTGGTCCCTGATGGTGGGGCACGAGGGGTTGCAGTGCGGCCAGGGGCAGCTGTCGACCAGGTGGATGGGGCAGCCCTTCAGCGGGTTCTTCCCGTTCCTGTTGCTCTCGTGGAGGCTCCGATCCCAGCAGTGCAGGGCACGGGGCAGCGACGTCCCCTTCACCTGGATGTCTGTCCAGTGGCTGCAAAGAGAAGACCACAGATGGCGTCAGGGGGTCGGGCTGTCAGAGCGTCAACTGCCCCCCGCGCCCCTGGTGACCCTCCAGAGAATCTGCAAAATCACTCACTTGCGCATAATGATCTCGTGGGACAAGCAGGCGGGAGCAAAGCTGGCGCTGCAGGGAAAGGAAACACGGATCAGGTCTTGGAAGGACCAAGGAACTCCTGATGAACAGAACCGTCCAGACTAGGCAGAGGGTGGAATTTTTGCCACCCCCAGCAAGATTTTTAAAACCAGCAACGACTATCATGATATAAAACCCAACCGGACCGGAAAGTGTCCAGAAGAAAAGGGGTTCCATCCTGCCTGACCGTGCACGTTTGCAACAAGAGACTCCCGAGTACGCGCTCTTGCATGAAGCGGGTCAGGCACGATAATGGCTCCTCCTCTGTTGTCTCATCAACTCTCCGGACATTTTATGATCAGTACTTTTCAAAACATCCCCGTGAAGCTAATGGCTGTGCAATGGCAAGGAGCCTTGGAAGCAGGAAAGAAAAAGCCCACGCTCCTGTCGATAACAAGGGGCAGCTGATGGGAATTACTTTGCACTTATCCAGAAATGAAAAAGGCAAGATCCTGGACGTAGACTAACAGTTACCAAATTTACAACACTCATTTCTTATACTGGATGAGAATGCCTCTTAGGAATGAATGTGCCAGGCTGTCCTCAATAAACCACTCACGTCACATCCTTCAAGGTGTTCCTCAGCTCCCTGCCCAGGTTCTGGATGTAGAGCCACTGCCCCTCCTGCACGGGCTGGCCAGTGAGGTGCACGTTGTCCACAGTCAGCTGGGCCTCGTCAAAGAGCCACTGGACAACAAAGACTGGACCTGGGAAGACAAAAAATTTGGAGAAGGAATTGCTCCAAGTTACCTGCGGATACGGAGGAAGCTCTAGAATACATTTTATGTCTTTATATCTCTCCCCAATACTTACATCGAAGAGTGGGGTAAATCTTATACCCAAAAAAGCAATTCCACTCCTCTCCCTCCTTAAACTGCAGCTTGCAGCGTTCAGGAACAATACCATTCCAATACCTAGAACACAAAGTCATAGCGCAACCTCACCTACAGCCTTCCCATATCCCGGTCTATTCTGTCTGGTTATAGTTCCCACTTACTGACAGCAGAGTTCTTTCTTGGCTACACACACGTTAGAGCACGTACAATTGCACTCATTCTTTTGCATGTCTACATTTTAAATTATTGTATTTTCCAATAAAATAATTGAAAAAACACTGACACTGATGATAAATACTCTTTAAGCATCAAAATGAAAGAAGACAGAGAAGGAGGACCTCTTCTCCACACTCTAACCTCTTACAGAAGTGTACTTCAGAGCATCCGACTGTACCTTATTCCTCTTCTGATGGCTTCTGTTGGCGCACAGGTTATGGTGTCAATGCAGTCAGTTCTGCGATACTGTTTGTTATCCAGGAACCATCCAGAGTCCGCCAAGCCTCGCACCTGAATCCCCTGATAGCCCATCTCCTCCAGCTGCTCCGCCACTCGGTCCACGTTCAGGAGCACTCCTGTCCCGCCGGCACTGCAACGGCAACGCTCACGCTGCAGCGCCGGACACACGCAGCTCTGAACGGCCAGCGAGCGCACGCACCCGCTCACAGCGGCAACGCTCCAGCAACCACCTCACCTCCCCACGGGACAAGCTGCTGCTAACTGGGCGGTCAGTTTACAAAACACTCAGAAATACAGCCAGTGCTGGTGCCTCAGAAACCAAATCCAGTTCCTCCTCCTTCCGGGCGATAGGTCTGCTTTAGATCATTTGCAAGGGGTTTGGCTGCTCAAAACCGGGAAGAATCTGAACTGAGACAGATTCGCCCTTTGCAGCTTCTGTACTACACCCCCGTGCAGCGCACGCTGAGCACACCCCAGCTTTCTGCAACACAGCACCTGCGCCAGGCACGACGGATCCTGTAACTCAGGCGTCCCAAATCCATCCACAGGGGACACGCGTCTCATGGCGGGGGCCAGCAGGAGCCAGCCTCCCAGGGCAGGGGAGAAGGAACACACTCCCCCCCTCTTGCAAAGCTTTCACTTTCTTGTTACTTTCTCAGTTTTCTCATGAGTGTACCTGGACCAAAAGCTGAGGAAACGGTATCGTATCACCCCTGGTTGTACCACTCAGAGGAGAAAACTGAGAAGAGATGCAGGGTTTGCTGTGTTGCTGTTACTGTACCCCTAGAACACATTTTTCAGGGGCTGCTGAGACCCCCTCCCTACCAGCGCTGTGCTGTGGGGATCTGCTGCCCCAGGGGATCCGGCTGGTACCCACCTGCTCCCGGCCAGCAGCAGCACTTTGGCAGTGCCAAGACCCCTTCCCACCAGCTCCTTTATCACCTCCTGGATGATCAGTGCTCCCATGAAGGCGTATTCGTCTGGAAGAGAGAGCTCAGGGTCAACAAAACTGTTCCTTCTCCAGGCTGAGACTTCTGCTTCCTCTCTACGAACGCTTGAGGACCTCACGGAGGGAGGATGAGCCTACAGCCGGGCGCGTTTCTCCACCCGTATCCGGTACGTCCCACAGAGATACCCCCTCCCCGTACAGAACGTGCTTCCCTGAGGGAAAGTTCACGGACAGCGAACAGAACACGCAACAACACCAGCACCTCCTGACAGCAGCGCTGGGACCCCTCCTCTGCCCACGAGGAACCCACACACTCTCCTGCCACCTGGAATCTTGCTTCCAACTTAGCGCACCCCTTTTTTTCCAACTCATAAAGCCAGTTCAGACAAGCAATGGTTCAAAAAAACGTGACACCCACACAGACCGCGACCTCCTCGGCAGTGCCAAAGGCAGCCACATCTGCTGGAGCGTCGCTGCCGTGAGGAGCTACGACGGGGGAAACGTCCCTCACCCCGACACCACGCGTCTGTGGCACCCACGAGTGGTCGGTTCCTTGGTGTCAGAGTCAGTGAACAGACACCGAGGGACACAACGTCTGGTCCAGGGCCGGAGCTCACAGACCAGCGCCAGCCTGCGGGTGCCGCCGCGCAGCATCGCACGCCCAGCTCCAGCTCCAGCTCCCTGCAGTGCCACCGACAGCAACTCCCTCCTGGCTGAAACACCCCCAGTGAACAAACAGCAGAGAACGAAGCCCCCGGCGTTCCTGCAGCCACCACTGCCCCAGACACAGCCTGGTGTGAGCAGGGAAACCCAGGGAAGCACGTGAGGCAGAATAACGAACCCGCACAGAACCCAGCTCCTGTCACCATCCCACTGACCTCCGACAGCAAGGCAGGGATGAAGATGAGCTCCTCCTCGTTTCCCAGGGAACCCTGCAGACGGCTTTAGCCTGACACACACACGACAGCTCCTGTCAAGGGCTGAATATCCTCCTGACAGCCGTCTGAAACTAAACTCATTGCACTCGCCCCTCAGATCAGCAAAGCCAAAGTCGCCTGCAACAAACCATCGTTCCTCAGCTACACCATTTAATTTGCGGAGTTGGAACCTGGAGATTCATCTGAAAGGAATTTTGTTCCCCTAATCCTCGCATACTGCACCAGTGTAACATCTCTGCGAGCAGCGGCTCTGAACTATCTCAAAGTGGCCCAGCTAAAGAGATCAGGATGTTTTATCTGGAAGTAGCCTGACATTAATTCCCGCCCTTCAGCAAGAAAAAGCCTGTTCTTCATTCACGCAATTTCACAGAAGTCTGGCCACGTCCTTTAATGTGTGATGTCCAGGCAGCAACAGCCCATCAGCAACACTCACTTTTCTCAGACTTGGAAGAGGCACCGCTCCAAACATCACTTGAGCAATAAGGGATGAATCTGTAAGAGAGAGCTATGTGAGCACTGGCGTCCCTTTGACAGGCATGAGGGGTGAGGACAGGGTCAAGTAACTGGAAGAAAATTAAACCCTGGGGAGGGGAAAAGGGAAGAGTTTCTTGTCCAGTTAGACAACAACGTACCTTCTGGCACGCCAGAGACAGCTATCGCTGTCCTGAATTTCCTCCTGAACACGGGCAGTTTTACTGAGTTAAATCAACAAATCACATGTCTTTTACCAGCCTAATTGAAGCACTGAGCTCAGTGGACAGAAGGATGGGCCAAGATTCTGCTCTGAGCTGTCCCACTGGTATGGTGGGTGGCCTGCCACAGGGACACTCTCTGTGCTTCAGCTTTTCAAATTAAAAATGAGAAGACCTTGTCAGTGCAATGTAAATGCTGACCGCAGCCACTGGAGGTTTTTTGCAGGAATGACGTTCTCTTCCCATTTTTGTCTCCAGCTTGGAGAATGCAAATTACCATCCCTCTCTTCCGCTTTTCCCTCCTATAGAGGTGGATATATAAACTGGTGTCTTCCTCTCCAACTGCCAAATGTGTAACACGCTATCAGCCCTCCGCTCACAGCAGTATCTGCCACTTCAGCTACCTGAGGAGGCTCGCTAAGCTCTCCCCAGTTTTTCTTCATCAGATCACCCCACAGCTCCAAGGAGACTGGACTTCAGTTTCTCCAGACCTTGCCAGTGCTACTTGTCAGAGAGCTGGACTAGAACAAACGAGGAAACATACAATTTCCTCTCACAAGTGTTAGTCTGTCTCTGCAGCAGTCTTGCTAGCCTGCAAGGCAGGAGAGGCTGTTTAAGGGTGAACGTATTTCCCTTTGTTGTCCCTCCTTACACCATGTTTGCATTCCACCAGTGGGGGTTTTCTTCTGGCTGTGATGACAGGATCCCAGTTCCTGCAGATGGACACAAAGAAACAAGAAATGCACAGATGACAGTCTATGACTTCAGAGTAACCCTGCGAGCCTCACGCAGGATCTCTGACCACACAGAAAACAAACATCCATTATGAAAAACATTGGCAGATGTGACTTCCAGAATTTGATTCATGCTGGAGACGAAGCCTGTCTAGGAGACTCTCACAGTGCAGAAAAGAACCTGTGACACATGCTTAAAACTAAGCACTTCCCCAAGAGCCAAGTTGCTAGCAGGTGAATTCCAGCACAGGCAGTTACAGGGTCTGTGTGAGCGGCGGCGGTTTAGCTGTTCAGAAGGCTGGAGCATAAGCAGCGAGAATGAAGAGGGAAGGTGAACGTTTCTGTGCTGATTCAGGAGCCCGGTGGTCCCGAGTGTAGTATCTGGGGGCTAACTCCATCTTATGCATGACATCGAAAGATGCTGCAAATACTTCTACACATGCACCAAGTGTCTGCTTTCACAAAGAGTCGCTGCAGCTGGTTAAGTGTAAACGGGGAAAGGTGGGACCACGCAGCTCCAGGTGGAAGCACAGACAGTTCACCCCCTTTCTCCACGTGCACACAGGACCAGTCCTACCCCAGGCAAACACATGCATCCAGCGCCGCGTGCAAGAGCGCGTCTGTCCTGGCAGAAAGATGAAGAGGCCCAAGAACCAAGAACAGTTCTGACAGGACTAAGAGAAGCACAAAGTCTCTTTAAAAAACAAGAAACTAAAGCGCAACCCTGCGAAGACCCCAGCAGGTTTGTGAGCCCACGCATGCATCCAGCACACAGAGAGCAAATCGGCCCGAGTCCAAAGCCCGAACGGTGCTCCCGCGCATCCCCACGCACGGGCACGCTGCTGCGTTGGGAACTTCCCGGGGTGCGGGTGTCCCCTCTCCGGAGCGATCCCCCGTCCACGCGCGGCCGCTCCCCGGGG